TTTTTTTTTAATCTTTTGACTGAAAGTTACCTGGTGAATAATGGGATTGAGAGGTAATTTTCATTGGGGATTTTCAAAAGCCAAAAAAGGAGGAAAAGAAGAAAAGAATCACAAGAATATGGTTGAAAAGTAAGATTAAGCCTTGAGGTACCAGATTCTTCTGCACTGAGATAAAATCTGATTGCATTAAAGACAAAATGGGTAGTTTCAATGTTTGCTACTACACAGATAATTGGGAGTTGACTGTTACAAATCAATTTGTTTTGCCTTTTTTTGGCTATTTTATCTGTTTAAATTGATCAATTTCTTTTGCCTTGTTGAGTAACAAGCTACAGGATGAACTTTGAGATTTGTTAATGTTGGACCAATTGTCTCAAAAGTAGGGATTAAGTAGCCAAAAATGAATTAAGAAGTGTATATGGCCATGTTCTTGTAGCCTGCCTGTTTCCCTGCCCAGAAGTTCCTTGGGAGAACAAGGAAAGCAGAAGAGGAGTTACAAACCTAAGCAGTGTACGGATAAAACTCAACACAGATTGAAATTTACAACCTTTGCCCAACATTCTCATTAAAAACCCATAATTTGGACAAAGTTTCTGTCATTTACAATCCTACAGGATGTGATAGAAGGGGAAAAAAGAGGTCTACAGTTCTGTGTCTACAAAGAGGATAAGAGGGAATCAGGTTTAGACTTGACAACCCAGAAAAGTTTAAGAACAGCTTCACAGTTATCAATATGAACACTCCATTTTATGCACACGGTCCCTGAGAATTCCATTGTACAAAGCAATCCTGTTTTCCGACATTTCATTTCTGCAGAATCTATCAACTTTCCTTGATCTTCCTCCTGTTGCTGCAATTAACTTCTTGTTTTGCTCTTTCCTGTACCCTTCTCCATTGCCGCTTGTATCCTTCACATTCTCAGCAAACTGCACTTTCTTCTTCTTCTTTCTATCCCTTTTCTTTCCCTCTTGAAAAAAAAAAACGAAGAAGAAGAAATCCCACCAACAATCAATAAAACATTCCATAAAAGAGAAGACATAATCTTTTAAGGGAAAAAAAAAATGAAAGAACCCCATGGCTACATACCTGAAGACAAGCAAGAACGAAGAGTTTGTTTGGAGGGAGGCAAAGTTTTTTGCCTGGAAAAAGTAAGGAAAATAACAGTGCTGGAAACTACCATAGCTGTAGCTAAAACCAAACCCTGTGAACATATTCTTGAAGACATAGTGGCACGACCTGACAGGAAACCGTATAAGACCAACGAAGAAAGATAGATGCAGTTGGTAAACTACCCTGCTGTCTTTGCTTATAGACACAATAGAGGGTGTCAAAGTGGGGGCAATTAGGCGTGTGTATATATAAAGAGAAATACGGTTAAAAAACCCAAAGTGCAATTGAGGAATACTAGAGAAATAGCCGTGAGAATCTGGACTTCTCTGGTTTGGTTTGCTTTTGTGTATGGGGTCTGGTTTGGCATTTGGCATTTTTATAAATCAAGTGCACCACACGGCCAAGGCAAAGTGATAGGAAAGGACAGCTGGGGAGGAACTTTTGGAAGAGGCAATGGGTCAACAGAGTCCTCAGATGGACTTCTAGAACAAAGTAAAGGGTCAAATGGTTTTGTTTTGCCCATTTAAATGGATTGGAATGCGCATTAGGTAGTGAAGATTTATGGCGTGTGGAGCCAGTTTTGAGTATATTCAAAGCTATGGAGGTCTTCGTTTTAATGGTAGGACATGAGGCAAAAAAATTCCAAGGTCTTAACTGATTTTAGGTTTAAGTCTATATCATGCATGAATTTGCCTTTATTTAACTACATATATCTTGGTTTTCTTTCACATCTGTAATGTTTTCTCACCTTGAAATTTGGGTGGGAACTTATTATTTATATATAATTTGATGATTTTATCTTTATGATTTATGCATTTTAATATGCATTAAGCATTCATAAAAAAGAGAAACAAAATTTGATTAAGACTTAAGATTCGAATATGCTTTGTATTAAAAAAAAAAAACAAAGAACACAGCTTTGTCAGTCAATAAATCTTTTGTAATTACTTTGACTTCAATCTTTGGGAGAAGATATTTGATCCTAGGAAATACAAATAGAAATCTCTTGTCCTCGTTTGGCGTTTATTTTATGATTTTATGTCATATATTTAATATATTTTTTATATTAGTGTTTAAAGTATTAAATTTAATTTTTAAAAATTAAATTTTTTTATTAATAATATAAAACTGAATACTTAACGTAAAATTATAAAATAAACCTCGAATTGCATAAAATTATATAAATGATCTGCAAGTGACGTTAAGGATTTTTATTCTAAAAAATATTAGTATATTATGCTATTGACATCTAGTAGTTATAGTTAACTTATATATATCTATATTATGTTTTGTTCACAATAATCTATTGCTTTTTTTTCTTTTTCCGGTATGTTGCTTTGACTATATAGGGTTTTTTCATTTATTTTAATTTACTAGCAATATCATATGTAGAGTAGTTTATTAGTATTTAATTATATTAATAAATTCTACTTCCACATTTTATATGTTTTAATATGTTGTGATAACAACAAATAAAGTTTTAGATAGGTTTTACTTTTTTTAGTCAAATATTATTTCTTCATGGTTAACTCATATGAAGCTTCGTTTACTTTGATTTCTTCAAATCGACAAATTCGACTCCTAATTCATATTTTTTTGGATGATGACAAATTCTATAACAAAAATGACTTTATTACGAAGATAACATCATCATGAAACTTACACTTATAAGTGATGAATTTTCACATAATCTTTTGTTTTGATTGAATAATTAAAAGATTAATGTAGTAATTAACAGAATTAATGTAAGTGAAATGCTCCCACAAGATAACTTTTCTCTTAAAAAATTAGTAACTTTTAAACATATAAAAGAGGTCAAGAATAATATTGATAATAAAGATTACCATTTAAGTCCATCAAATAAATATATTAAAGCAAGTAAATATATGAATTGATTTAATAATAAGTATATGAATTTCGTATTTAATCATGTTTGTGTGTAAATATTTTCACAAATCTTTTTTTTATGATTTTTTTTAAAATTTAAAAGTGAATAGGTCACAAGATTATTACTCTCTCTTTAGAAAGTTAGCATAATGAGGTCTGTAACACCCGCAATTCGGAATTTCTCAAGATTTTTTTACCTGCATGATGTGAGATTGAAATACCATACTTATCGTGATTAATGAAGCAATCAAAATTGTGAAATTCAAAATTTTAAGGCATAATATTCAAAAAAGCTTTTAAATTATTCGAAAAAAATTTAAATAAGTTTTTATACTTTTATTATATTCAATTAAATACTTATATTTTTATTTTCAACTAAATAAATTTTTATATTTTTTATTTTGAGTCAAATTAGTAATTATAACTAATGATTGATTTAATTAAAATATCATTTATCATTTTATATCTCGTAGAATTGAGGTGATATACTAATATATTATAATTGATGATAACATGACATGTTAATTGACATGATAACATAATCATGTGATATTTTTTACTTTTTATATCAATATTATATAAATATCATATGAATATAAAATTATAAATAATCTTTTAATTAAAAATAATTAATTATTAATTATAAAAAATTAATTAAATATAATAAAAAATAAAAAATATTTAAAAATTTTAAAATAATTTAAGAATTTATTTGAGCATCTAATTGATAAGTATTTTAGTTGACTAGCCAAACGTGGCAAAATCAATTGCAGTGGTCCTGGTGGATAAAATCACATAATGACGATAAAAGAGCTTGTTACAAGTGGAGGCAAAGGAGATGCGAGCCGCCCACAATTGGGCGCGACAGCTGAGCGACACCTGTCCAATCAACCACGTGAAACCATGACTCCGTTGTGTACATGATTTGTGGACACGCTTACACGTGGCCATCATGTAGGAAACCTTGCTTTCCATGACCTTGCTTTCCATGTACCCCAATCTTGCCATGTGTCTTGCCTTTTATTTTGATTTTCTTTTTCTTTCTTATATTTTCCATCTACTTTCCGGGAAAAGGAAAAGAAATCTAAATCCTGAGTGTTCTTTTTATTTATATATATAATTTCATAAATTTTATTTTGTTCCTTTTAAAATTCAAATTCATAATCTTTCTGAATTATATATACCGTACTTATAAGCTTTTTCAAAAAAATTTTTACTTACTTGATATGGATTTAAAATGTTTGACTTATTTCTTAAAGCATTTAACATGATATTTTCTTTCACTAAATTAAATATAAAAATAAAATCTCATTTCTTTCAAACTTACTTCTATTTTTCTCTCTTATTTTCGCTATGTTGCTTTAAGAATCTCAAATTTTTAATTAGTTTTGTTGATTTCTAGGTTAACTTGAACCGATTTAAGATGAATTTTTAAAATTTAAAATCATAATAAATTGAGTTAAAATCTCAACACGTGACCACCGGTATAATTTGTAGTAAATGTTTTTTATTTCTTTACAATTATATCTAATTAAATTTAAATTTCTTTCTTTCTATATTTTTTTGTTATCTTAACTTTCAATTTTTTTTTCTGTCCACCTAAACAAATATGCACATTTATATCTTTCTAGTGGTTTTTATAAATTTTAATACATCAAAATTGAAATTATAAATAAAAATATTTCCATCCACATTCTTGAATTAAAAAATTTGAATTTTTATGATTATTTTTTTTATTCTGGAATTGAATTTTTTTGTGTCCATGTGTTGCATGTTTGTCTAAAATAAATCCAATTTCAATTTGGATTTTGTTTTCATGTAAATAAAAAAGACAAGAAACAATCAAAACTCTACATTTGATCATTTTCAAAGGGTACTTGTGCTATTTGCCAAATGCTTAAATAATTAACACACACGTATTATCATCATCATAAATTCATAATGCATTTTAATTAACTTATTTAATTTATGTTTTTTTTTTCAGTTTTCAAATTAACAGAAATATAAACGATTTGACTAACGGTTGAATTATATCTAACGAAAAATTTTTTGAGATGAAATATTTATTTCGAAAACTAATAGATCCATATAAAATTATTACTAAATGAGAATATTTTACTTAAATTCTTATATATACCAAGTATGACACTATTGATTAGAAAATGTTTACCACATGTAATGATTAGATCGAAAGAGAAAACACAAAACAAAAACTTTTTTGGATTTCAATAATCAACTTGAGTTAGTTGATTAGATTGGATAATTGAAGATGATTAGAGCCAATAATTTCAATTGACAAGGGATAAGAACAATTATTTTCCATTGGAAAATGATTTAGAACAGTAAATTCAATAATAAAAGATGTCCATTTCTGTTATTGTGGATGCTGTGTAGCAATCCTTCTTTGTGGGGGTTTTTTTCTTCTTCTTTTTTCCTCTTTAATCTTGATTATCATTGTTTCATGATGGATACATTTTCTGATTCCATTCACTGACCACAATATGAACCAAAAATTGAAGTTGCAGGTCAAGAATTTATTGTGGTTATTACATCCTGGAATTGGAGACATTTCTTTCTGGTTGTCATGAATAGAGATCAAAAGGACTTGGATATTTTTGAATATCACATGAATTATAAGTTAGTCAACTTGAGAAAGTTGTGGATGAAATCCCAGAATTAGTAAGGATGATGTCTCAGTTGCAAACACTACCTGTTGACTACCCTAAACCCTGTTTATGATCATCTACACCTGACACTGAGTGAGGTGATTAAGCTCCATTTCAATAATCTTTCAGCAGATCATGAAAAGTTGACACAAGAAGCATTCATGAGAATTTCGCCGAACTACTACAGAATTGCTTCCTCACAAAGTAGTAACAACTGATAGTAATTACGATAACCACAGAAAACATACGAGAATCAGATAAACACAGGCCATCAGTTTTGTGCCAGTCAGCATCAGAATCACACCACAGCATCACAGCTATTTAGTTTCAGATATGAACACCCTGACAGAAAAATAATGGCAACTCTGCTGCTCTGCAGGCTATGACACAATCACAAAACATGATTTATTGCTACTACCAGAGCCAGTGCCACATAACTAGAGAAGGTAAGAAATTATCACTTAAGAAAAAGGTTGAGACCCCCTAAGTAGTGAGGATAGGAGGGAGGTAATCAGATTTGGCACCAAGAACACGAGCCTTTGTGTCAGGGAAGAACTCAAAGCCTGGCAGTTCAGTGACGGTTCCCTCACTAGAAATGCCAATGGGGTAGCGAAGGAGGTGTCCAGGCAAGTCTCGCTCAAGTGACTCACTTGAATACAGATCCCAATATTTGTCAGCAATCTGGTTCACCTTCCTGACACATTCCTCACTTTCTGGAAAGAGGAAGGTATCATCAAGCATGCCAAGGTGCTCATACCACAGTGCCATACGGAAACCATGGACCTGACCTCGTGCTGGTTGCCTAACTGATAGATGATATGGTTGATAGGCTCCCATGGCTATCTCAGAGTCTCTAGCACCATCCATTGATCGTTGGTTAATGTTGGCTGATCCAATTATTATGTATTCATCATCAACTGCAGAAAGTACAGAAAAGTTAAATGAAATATAAGAATGAACAAGAAACCTAATAAAGAATGAAGGGACCTTCGTTCTCAAATGAGATTCGAATGAAAAGGCCTTTCTTTATTTTTTGCAGCACCATGTTCTATAAGTTACACAATCATAGCTCCTTACGCCACCTAATTGGAAGGAAATTTTCCTCATGACACAAACCATAGTGGATATGTTCTACGAAAGGCTGACATTAATTCATAAAGAAATTTTAACGCTGGTGTCTTCATCACACCAGTGGTTTGAACAGTTGAAGACCCCCTACCACATTATCAATTATCCAAAAAAAAAAATTTCTCCCAAAATCAGAGCTAAAATTTAATAAACAGACGTATGTGAGGTGTGTGCGCATCAAGTTACTTAAAGGTTTTCATCACCTACCAATCATCATTTTGGCATGAACATAGATCATGAAACGGCGGGCCTCCTGGGCTCTGGCATAATCTGTATCAGGCTCCGGCTTTTCTGAAGGTTCATATTCTCCACTCTTCTTCATCTCCCGGTTCCCAAGGCAGAAGAACGTTAAATAGTTTCGGGGATCCTCCTCACGACCCATATCTCTGAGAGCCTTAATGATATCACTATACATCATGTCCATTGTCCTTTTCTGCCAATCTAATATTGCCTGAACTGACGCACTCTCTGGGATTCCTTCTGGCCACATAGGGACAACAACATAAACTGTAAACCTCTCTCCTGCCTTAATCTTGCTAACAATCTTAAGTGAAAGCTCTTTCGGAATCAGATGCAAAGCATTGATATCCTCAGGCTTAATGCCATCAGGACTCCAGTCAAAGGAGCTTCCAAGGAAATACTGATTTTCAATATAGATGTAATTCTTTGCTCGTCTGATAGCATTAATATAGGCATCCTGAATACTTCGGTCAATAATATTGTCCTTTCCACTGACAAGCCCAGCTCTGGCAGCCTCTTCAGGTGTCTCAGGGAATCCAAAAGCAGCCCCACCATCAATGGATCTAAATAATTGCACATTCCAAGTCTCATGGTCATCGAGGAACGTAACTGGAGATGGGGGGATGATGATATCTTCAAGCTCCCTCATCTTAACAAGCACATCTTTACCACCTTGTTGTTTCCATCTTTGCTCAAAATTGAACAAGACATCCCAAGCAATTGGCCCTTCAAGTCGGGAGTGGATATCGTGCCAAGGTTCCCTTGGACCACCTTTGGTGATTGCAGCACCAGTAAAGTTTGGCTGATGGAAATCATCATGGTGAGCCGTGTCCAAGGTCCTGAAAAGGGAATGGAAAGGGGTGTCATATCTGCCATCACAAAGATCAATACCTCCTACAAAACTCACAATTCTCCTTCTCTCTGTATCTCCATTAGGCATTGCAGCATCCACCACAACAATTTTCTGGTGATGAGTGAACATGGTAGAAATCTGTAAATCCTGGACAAAACTTCCACCATCGTCTGGATTACGAGGGCATAAGACACAGTTTACCTCAGTATCCTTGAAGAAGTGTTCAGTTTCCTCATCATGGGTTGCCATTAGTCCATCCTTCTTCAGCAAACCAACAGATGTTCTATCATCCCAAACAAGCATATTAACCCTGACACCTTCACTTGCTTTCTTTTTAAGCAGATCACCAAGAGTGATGTCTCCCCCTGGCTTTGGCCTTCTAGAGTCTCTCACCAAAGTGATCTCGGTATAAACAGACCAACCAGTAATGTAGATCACGTGTTTAGCATTGGTGATAGCATCAAAAACATCTTCCCAACATCTGTGTGGCTCAAAATATTTGCCCCCAGCAAGAGGAATTTTAGGAACAAATCCGTCTGGGATATGAGCATCCTGGTATAGAGAAACCTTACATCCTTGTCTCTGTGAGTAAAATGTAAATGGAACTCCAGGAAATTTCCGACTTATGATACCACGATTCCAGTTGTGGTCCCTCGTCACATCAAAATATTGAAGCTTCACATGGATTTTAGCACCACTTTCTATAGGATTCTTGTCTTCATCCAGGATCTCAATCCACCTATCCACTTCTTCTCCACTTAAGAGATCTTCAACAGGTACATTTGCTCTTCCAATCAGTGTGGCTCCAATAGGATTGTCATCCTTGACAGAGAATACTACATTGGAAGCTCGATGGGCACAGTAAATGTGAAAAGACTCGTACCACCTTGGGTTGGAAATTTCTTTTTCTAGTGTTCTGGTTCTTCCAACTCTAGCCCTTTCAAGGTCAATAGTTGCGTAAATCTTGGGAATTCCTTTGCCAATACCAATTGTCTCCTCAACATTAGCCATAAGCTGCAAGAAGAATATCATCCATAAGACACTCGAAGAACAGAAAAGAGGTAATATATGCTAACAGTTTAAAGAATGAGATGACAAGTTAACACAGACAAAGTCATTATTACGATGCCATCTTAAGTCAAGACGGCCAAAATTTCAGCTCTGAAACCCTAAATTGTGGAACAGGCTTATATTTCAGAACAAGGAAAATCAACAAGACGTAGACCTCATTGACAGAGTTGCCAAAAGAAATGGAGAAAATCTGTTCCACCAGTGTGAATGAACAGAACACAAAACATTCTGATAAAGAAAATTAAATCTTACTATAACCTTCAAGAAATATAGCCAACTATAGCATATCTAAGGAGAGTAAAAAACCTGGTATTGAAGTTCATATTTAAATGGTTTAAATCAGTAAAATGTATTGCCAGTGTCAATCCAGTTATAGGAAAACAATGTTGAAGACAAAGGTAAAATGTCATTGGGAAATAGGCAGAAATCTGTCCTGCTGATTCCCACTCCAAAAAAGACAGGAAGCAATGTCTTTTTACCAGGTTAAGGTTCAACAGTTATTTAAGGCATGTTTCCAACACAGTAAAAAGCAACCCAAATAGGTATTGACTATTGAACACATTTTCATGGGCAAAAGTGCATTTATTTCATAAGCCCTGACATAAGGAATCCAAGAACTGTATCAGATATATTTCAAAGTCAAGAAAATGAATTTATATAATTTGATTATGAGAGCATTCAAATAGAATTGGCATTCAACTTATATACACATGTGTGCACACACATAGACAAACACACACAACACAATCAATACCCGCACCTTCCTTTGCCACTAACACTAACCATGGCCCTTCAAATATATATGCTAGATACATACATTATTACCCCACACATGACTATCCATACCTCATGGATGCAATCCTAGTACAACAATCCAGCCAAAAGCAAAAAATTACCGAAAAACTAAATAGTCTTGCACAAGTATGCTTGCCACGACTATGAACATCTTAAAGCATTTTCTCCTTTTAGAATCATCCAAACTGTTTCCTCTGAAAATGTCTGTTGTGTGACTGTGCATCAGTGAAACCATCTCCAAACACACTCTAATTAGGACTGGAATTACCGGATGGAATACCCTCAGAGCATTTAGTAAGCCCCATTAGTGGGTTTCAGAATGGAAAGTCTAATCTTATCCAATACTCCCCACTTCTGGAAAGATCCATATATCTAATATCCAAAATATACAAAGTGATGTAATCATTCAGATTTTTAACAACAAAAATTAAAAGAGAAAGAAAACTCAATTACTGTTTTCAAGATCTTATCTTTCGGAAACTCGCAAAATCAAAACCAACCCCATAACCCATTTTCTCAGATTAATTCCAAAAATACCTCAAAATGCGTAATCTCCAAAAACCAAAAGAACAGATTAGTCAACTAAGAAAGTCCAAAAACTTGAATACCCAGAACAAGAATATCAAAGAAGAAGTAAACAATGATCCTGATCCAGCATAAACAATTCATACCTTCCGGAAGAAGTGACCACCTCCACCACCACTATGAAGCTTATCAACTTCATAGATCGTAACATGTAAAGTCCCATGTATATCCTCCATTTTCTCACCTAAAAAAAGAGCAAACAAAAAGAAACAAGAAAATTAACTAAGATAAATATATCTTACATAATCACCTTATCAACACTCCTTAAAAAAAACCAATCAAAAAACACTGAAAACAGAGATGATCAGTGCCACAAATGAAGACTTGGAAAACAGAGTGATCAATGGGGAAAAGAGAAAAGGGTAGATTCAACAATACCAACTTTGGTCCAACAAGAAAGAGATCAGAGGATTTGAAGCAGCACAGTGTAAAGATTTTGTTTTCCTTTTGTGGGTGGGATCTGATCTGATGCCTACTGGGTTTGCATTTATACATGCAAAACAGCGCGTATAAGGAGTGTAATGGATATGATGTAATGTGGGAATGTGAAGGAGAGAGTAAAGAGGAAATTACAAAAAACAAAAACAAAGAAAAGAAAAGAAAAAGAGGACAGATCCTGAAAAACAGCCCGTAAAAGGCTTCCCCGTGGAGGAAAGGAAAGGTAGTGAGAGTGTATGAAAGGGATTTGTTTGTAATTATTAGAAATGGGTTTGATGTTTCCTAGAATTTAACTATGGCAATGAATAAGAAGAAAAGTTTTGCTTTTGTGTCCTTTTTTTTTATACTGATGGCCATTTTTGGAATGAAGGAGAATAGGAGCACTTTTGGGTAAACACCAAAATTAAGGACAAGGGTAAATTGATTCAAAGATGTTTGAGTTTGAGGAGTATTAAAGAAGCTATGAATATTAATGAATACTTCATATATCTACTCAGTTTAAATAAATTTATAATATTTTATAATCGAGTTTGGATAGTAAAACTATCACTCGTCCATAGGTTCAGGTAAGCTTAGGGTAATGTTTATAGCGTACCATTACTTGAATTCGATTATAAATAATTATTTTTAATATTTAATTTTAAATTATATATTATTTTTTAATTATAAATTTTTATAATTAATATAATATTTATCAAAATTCATTACTTATTCTAAAACCCTAAATATGATTTTAAACTTTAATTATTTTTATCAACTAATTTTAATTTATTAATTTAATTTTTATTAATAATATACATAACAAATTACTTTAAATTTATTTTAATTGAATATTTAACAAGTACAAGTATTTAATGAGCAATATTTGGAATATTAGGGTAAGGGTTTGAGTAGCAATTTAGAAATTTAATCGAATATTTCTAAAGTTCAAGTATCTTATAAAATAATAAGATTTTTTTTTATAATTGAGAAAGGAAGATTCAAACTTTACTTTTTAGATAGAAGGTTTATACACCAACTTATGAATCAGATACTCGGATGCTTATAAAATCAAATAATAAAATTTAGTTTAAGATAATTAAAAAATAACAAGCTACTCTACCAATTAACATCTTATAAAAAATATTAATATTTGTTTTATAACTCAAACAATGGATCATCCAATGATTTGAAAAAAATTTTAGTGGTGTACAAAATTTTAAGTTCAAATCATAAGATAAATATAATGAAAATTATAAAACAAAAAGAGAATTATCCCTAATAGTATGAAAAGAAAAATTGTTGAAACTGTTCAACTTACAAAATCACAATGCAAAATATGATATTTATAAATTTTGAAGGGGTAAAAGGGAAAACCGTGAAAGATATGGGGGGTATTTTCTAACAAAATTGTTGTCCTATTTATCGAGATATCATTATAAATTAGAGGCACGATTGTTAAGGCAAAAAGTTGCAGATCCCGTAACATTCTGCAGGCCAAAATTAAATCAGGTTCACCGACCAGGAAATCTTAAAATCGTGCACCACATTTTCCCACCGTTTAGCTCATAATCAACGGCGGTGGAAGCTCAAGAGCACGTGGATATATTGTTTCGAATCTCACTGGAAATTATTCTTTTTACCACATGCGCTGTCGGATTTTGACAAGTTTATGAGGAATATTTTACAATTTTGCAATATAAACAAATGAAAAATTATTGTGAATGTGTAAAATCTATTCATTTACAGTGTATCTATTGATCATAAATCTTAAAATGATAATATTTAAAAAACTTATAAATTATTTAAAAAAACTAAAAATTTATTTTTTTTATATTCAGTCAAAATTTTATATTTTTATTTTATAATTAAATAATAATTATTTATTTATTTATAATTAAAATATCATATCACGTTAATGTAATATATTGATATGTTATAATAAATGATGATATAACATGTTAATATGATATAATGATATTGTTATGTTGATTTTTTTACTTTTAATATAAACGTTATATTAGTACTATATAGATATAAAATAATAAATATTATTTTAATTAATAATAATTAATAGTTAATTATAAAAATTTATTTAATTTTAAATTAAAATATATAAATTTGATTGAATGATAAAAATAAAATATTTTAAATATTACTTCAATCTTAAAATTATAAAATGGTCAAAGTGGGTCCTTGCCTAGCAAACGACAATAAAGTAACGGACATGTTGACAACATCTTGGATAGGTGGGAGAGGTTGATTATGGGTTGGTTGGTGAACAGGATTAGGGAACCTTTTGTTCTTTGCCTCTTAAATTATCTTTACCTTTTCTTAACTTATTATTTTAATCTTTTCAAATACTATTTAATAACTTGCTCGTTTGCTCATATGTAATAAACGCAATAAAATAGACCTTAATAAAAGAAAATATATAATATCTAAAAAACACTTAAATTATTTAAAAAATTTTAAATAAATTTTTATTCTTTTATCAAATTCAATTAAGTTATTATTATTTTATTTTAAATGAAATAAATTTTTATTATTAACAAATGATTAACTGGTATTAATTAAAATCTCATTTGTTATTTTACATATAATAAAATAATATACTAACATATCATAATGGATAATGATGTGATATGTTTATATAATATGATGACATGATTATGTAATATTTTTACTTTTCATGTTAACGGTATATTAACATCATATGAACATAAAATAATAAGTGATATTTTGATTAATAGTAATTAGTCAACTATTAATTATAAGAATTTATTTGATTTAAAATAAAAATATAAAATTTTAATTAAATATGATTGAAAAATAAAGACTTACTTATATTTTTTTTTAATTGTTAGGCTTTTTAAAGCATCATACTAAAAAAAAATAACTCTAGTATGAATGTAGGGAAAGATTATTTGAAATGTTGAACTTTTAGTGTGGATTGATTGTAAAAGATATTTATTGAATTAATAAATATTTGTTTTTTTCAATTTACAACATAAGGAATTGTGTATTTTTTTTTATAAATTTTTTATCAATTGATATATATATAAAGATTTAAGTTTCTTATATTTGATTATTAGGCGAATTTGGATAATATTTTTAATATTTAATTCAAATTAAAATAAGTTTTAAATATCACTTTTAAAATATTTTAAATTTGAACTCGAATATACATATATATTGACATTATATATAATATGTTAAAAAAATTTAATTTATAATTAATCATCTGAGAAATAACTAAAAACTAAGTATTAAAACTATAAAAATAAGCCAACAAAAGAGAAAGGAAATTAGAGACTAGAAAGTCATTGAAGGGTTGATATCTTGTTAACGAGCGGCTGACATTTGCGCACGTGTCCACGTCATTGCCCAGTGGGTAACATGATTAGATATGGGACCTAATAAAGTTCACCGAAAGGTCCTGCTTTTTCTATTTCTTGCCTTCACATTCAAAACCAATGCAACACTGAAAATTATCCTCACTTTCTCATTATCCACGTGGCTGTTTTTAATGCGATTGGTTGGGGACATAAGATAAAAAAGGGTGCTTTTAAGTTCGAAGAAGAAATTAGAATTTAGAGATTTTAGATATTTGAAAATTTTGCAATTAGAAATTAAAGCAAACATAATACTTAAACAAATTTTAATTATTCAAAATTTTTTAAATAAATTTTTATTTTTTATGTTAAGTGGTATTAATTTAACATATTAATATGTAATAATAAATATTGATATGATATTATAATATTATTTTATGACATTTTCATCTTTCACATCAGTGTCATGTTTATATAAATAATAAGTATTATTTTAAATAATGATAATAAATTAATTATTAATTATAAAAATTTATTTAATTTAAAATAAAAATATAAAAATTAAATTAAACGCAGCAGAAGAATTCATTTAAACTTTTTTACAATAGTTTAAGAATTTTTTAAAATACATCGCTAAAACGTCAATTACTAAAAGATGTGTGATGTTAATTTTCCTTTCTACTTATGCCAAAGTCTAATGAAAGAATGGGATTCGAATTTTAATTTATAAGAATTATTATCATTAATTTCTCATAAACACTTGGCATTCTTTTTTTCTTTTTTGTGCATAAAAAAAATCAAATCTTTGAAATTTCAACTGAAATTAGAAACTAAAAAGTCAATTGTTAAATAAATCTAAATTTTTCATTGATATAATAATATGAGAAAAATTAAATTTTATTTGATTGATATTTTTATTTAACTTTTTATTTTTTTTTTTAAAAGGTTATATATAAAGTAAAATCATGCACACTTTTATATTCTGTATATTTATTTTATGTATAAAAAGACATTTTTTCTTTTCAATTGAGAACTCATTCTTGAGATTTTGCACTTGCAATAGTCAGCAAGCTTTTTTATGCATATACTGTTGGACATTTTCAAATAAAAATATGATTTCGTATCGAAATAGAAGGAAAGTTGTGACTGTTGGAAATTAAAAGAAGGATTGTATCTGTTGAAAATTAAATCAATAGATACTATAAAATAAGAAAAGAGTCACGTCTGTTGGAAAATACCAACAGAAGCAACTATTTGAAACAGACACAAATAGGGTCTGTTGAGAACAGGCATCTATG